GTCCTTTGAAAAAGTCTAAATGATATACAGAAAGTAAATGTGAACTGTTCACAATCAAGGATTATATGATCATGTATAGCTGTATGAACATGCGAAGTATACTGATTAAAATACCAACATAGAGTATAACATTTGAATCAAGTTTTTGTCTCGATTCTTTTTGTGGAAGGTAGACTCTCTTGTCTAGTTCAATTCCTTCGAACTTCTATTGATTAGAATAGGAAACCATAATTCTTCATAGTCAATAGTCATAGGTTGGTCCATTTTCATGTTGAAAGCAGCACGATTACCTCTCTTTGTAGCTCATATCAGTTAACAATCTAAGAAATGCTGTTCTGAAATTTTGTAGCTTGTTACAACTATAACTGTGGATGAACCTGCTCCTGGATTGAAGGCAATACTTAGTTTCAAAGTCCCTGATCAAAGGTCTGGTAAGGTGAGTGATGGAATAATGTACTTTCAGACTCTGGATATTGTATCCTACTTTTTGATGGAGTTGTGCATTTTCTTTTTCATTTTGTGCTGACTGACGTGTTGAAATAGTTATAAACTAGTTGATAAGAATCAACCAACTGATTTTTGTTTTTGTCAAGTAGGTGGAACTGCAATATCTGCATGACTATGCTGGAATCAGCACGAGTATTGGGTTGACAGCCAATCCTATCGTCAACTTTTCTGGTGTCGTTGGGTCAAATCTTCTTGCCCTTGGTACCGATCTCTCATTTGACACCAAAACTGGAAACTTCACCAAAGTCAATACTGGACTGAGCTTTGCTAACGCAGACCTAATTGCTTCTCTGACCTTGTGAGTTTTCTAGTCAACTCTCTTACAGGTTTATGAGTTTTACTCCTTTTTGGTACATATTAACGGGAATTATGTCCATTAATGACCCAGGAATGACAAGGGTGATACGTTGAGTGCATCATACTATCACACAGTGAACCCTTTGACCAGCACAGCCGTCGGAGCGGAGGTCGCTCACAGCTTTTCCTCCAATGAGAATACGATCACTGTTGGAACTCAACATGCACTTGATCCACTGACCACGGTGAAGGCTCGAGTGAACAACTTTGGGAAGGCAAGTGCTCTTATCCAGCACGAGTGGCGTCCAAAGTCGTTCTTCACTGTATCTGGTGAGGTAGACACCAAAGCGATTGACAAGAGTGCTAAGGTTGGACTAGCTTTGGCCCTCAAGCCATGATAGGACAAATTTATTACTCGCTATGGCTGGAAGAATTAAGGTAGAGTTTTCTGGTACATAGCTCCCCAAGTTGTTTGCTGAGACCTCGATGATATGTGTTGATGAATGTTGCCGCCAGTTGTTTTGGATTGTAGAAATAAATGTTAAGATGATGATGTGGGTATCATAGACATATATTTGGTACCGTTTTTTGCACTGTGATCAGTACCTTTTGAAACCGGGCCAGATGAAACTGGTTGAGGAGGAGATTTACAATTGAAATATTGTTCCATTTTTCTTTCTTTTTAAAGCATCTTTTTTGCTATTCAATCTCCGTTCCACTACCTACTTTTTTTTTTTTGTTTTATTGCCAATAAATACTTTATGGATTGAGTTTGTTTTCCCCTCAAATTACAATCTATCTTTATTGTTAATTTAATATATATATATATTTAATTTTTTAAAATATGTATATTAAATAAAAATATCTAAAAATAAATAAATAAATATTTTTATTATATATTATTTTACTTTTATTAAAAATCAAAATTTTAATAAATGTTTTGAGCTAGTTAACCAATTTAATCTGTAACCCAATCTCAAAATTGAAAAAAAATAACGAGTTAGATATAAAAATGTTTCAGTGAAAAATAAAAAATATAATTTAAAGAGACTTAAAACTTTCATAATTATCATAAATTAGAGACAATTATGATAATTTTATACCTTAAATATCCCTAATTGGTATTTGGTAGTTGGGCCGCAGTTATAAATGCCATGGCCCATTGGGTTCTCGAAGTCTACGCCGGCACAGAACACGCCATTTTCTTTTGTTAAGAGAGAGAAAATAGAGAGAGAGAGAGAGAGAGAGAGAGCAATGGGAGTTCTTTTCTCAACGATCGGCACTCTTCTTTCTAAATGGTTCGGCCCCTCAATGGCGAGTGCCGAAGCTGCCTCGTCGGAGCCGTCGTCGGTGTCTTCTTTTCATTCGTCGGCCAGATGGAAACTCCACTTCGATTCCGTTCAGGAATCCTCCAAGCTCGTAAGAATCAATTTTACCTTTTCCACTGCCAGTCGTTTGATTGAAGGGATTTTTTTTCTAGGACTACTGTTGATCGGTGATATGATTTTCTCTCTTCCTTGAATTTTTTGCGACTGTGTGAGAGTAGATGGTGATTGATTTCTCGGCGACTTGGTGCGGACCTTGTAGGCTCATGGAGCCGTCCTTCAACGCCATGGCCAGTACATATACTGATGTTGAGTTCATCAAAATCGATGTCGATGAGTTATCTGTATGTCTTTCTACTTCTAATTTGGCATTCCCTTGTTTCTGTATCTGATTCTTAATTGCAATTGTTGCTAATTATAAATTTTGGTGGTTTATGTTAGGGTGTTTGTCAGTTTAGTCTCTGTTACTTTAATAATATCTTTCTGTTGGTCTATGTTGAAATTGAATGATAGTAGTGAGTTAGCATAAGCTTAGAAGAGGAATTGGGGATATAAGAGTGGAAAATTTGCAATTTCTGCCAATTTCTTATTAACTTGGAGACGAAATACTATACTTTTCTCTCTGAATAGGTATGGTATCATGTAATTTTATCATAGAAGCTTGGAGGAGTTATGATATAATTGAAAACTATGCCCTCTGCTCACAGCTCAACAAGTTAAGACATTGTATCCTCAATTAAAATGTTAGAGACTTGAATCTGCATCCCAACATGTTATTGAATTCTAGAATAATGTTCAAACATGATTTGCTAGATTGAATCTTTTTGACACGAACTAACGTGAAAAAATGACAAAGAAATTTACCCTGAATCCAATTGTAAGAATGACACGAGTGTCTCTATAATCAGGATGTGGCTCAGGATTTTGGAGTACAAGCAATGCCAACATTTGTATTGCTGAGGAGAGGGAAAGTGTTGGATACGGTGGTTGGAGCCCGTAAGGAAGAGCTGGAGAAGAAGATTCAGAAGCACCGATCAGCTTCTGGTGGAACTTAAATCGAAAAACCTCCATCAATAAGTTCTCTCTCCCACTCTTCTTCCTCTTTTTATACAAACATATGAAAATTATCTATATTCTAACTTGACCAGTGATTTGAATTTACACGTATTATATAAACTCCATGTTCTTGTTTGAGCTCAATCTGACTGATTTTCTCTCTCCTGTAAGATATACCCATTGTTAACCTTTTTTTGGTCTAATGATTCTTTCGTTTATTTTCTCCTATCATCTGTGTGCTTGAAAACCCAACAGTTTTTAGGTGATTTCTTGCAAATATCCCAAGTTTTTGAAGTTGAATTGGAATTTTGATATCCATGTGAAACCAATCTGGGTATTGTAGCTTAGCTAAGAGTTTCTATGATCTGGAGAACTTTTTTCTCTCATTTATTGTGGCATTCCTCTATGGAAAGGAAAATTCTTTAGTTGTAACGGGAAAGGTTAAATCTCTGCCTTCTGAAATGGTTGGCATGATGTTGTTTCTCCCATAGGACCCTAATAGAAACATATTCTTACTAAGCTGGAGGCCAAAGTAATTTGAGGCACTAAAATCACCCCTCTCCAAAGTATTCTTACTCAAACCTGTAGCCACCAACCAATTGCCATATTTCATCCTTTACAACTTCCTTAATCACTTACTCTCATTGCTCTAATAATATTCGTAATCTAACTTTGAAGTTTTTAATAAAATAAATCAAATTCTAAAAATAAGCAACATCTCATCCTCAGATCAAAAAAATGTAACAATCTTAAATTAAATCTAATCCTTTAAATTAACATTGTTTAAACAGAAACTCTTAATACAAAGAAGCATACACTACATTGACCACAGTGATCAAAATGATGAAGAGCTGACATGTACTAAGAACTTATAGGGAAATATGCTTAAGGACCCATTAAGCATATAGGAATAGAATTAAGCATTCAACGATCACATCTACCGTTAGAAAGGGTAAATCGCTGAAGTGAGATATATACAACTAACTCGGTCGGTTGGCCCTCCTGAACTAAGACTCTATTCCCCAACCAAACATTTCAGAAAAAAACCCTCCAATCTTGGACCCCTGCATCATGAAGGTGTCCCGAGTGTTTGAATTTTGAAAGGTATATACCCATATTCTTCTCAATTAAACTAGTTGCAAACCTAGGAATGAGAGCATGCGGCTCGTGAGGTGAACATCAAATCAAGTTTACGACCTTCTCTACCCCTCCACACTTTGTCATAACTAATGCTAATCCCATCATTTTTTCAAGCATAATCCATTATATTACGTGGAGTTGTACTCATCTAGAAATCTCTTAACAATCCACAATTTTCTAGACCTAAATATTGAAGCACAAAGGTACCATTTATGAGTTGATGATACACTCGACATTGAACTGTTTCTTACTGGATTGGAAACCTCATTTTTAATGCAAGCATGTAGACAACCTTCTCCAAATCATCCTAACTCCAAAAAAAAATATAATCTTTTGAAATGAAAACAGTTTGTATTAGCATGCCAATACTTTCAATGTCAATGAACTTACTCTTTCTCCTCTTTGTTAGTGTTCTTCGTTGAACTTAGGCTTCCACCATTCGATACCCTGCAAACATCCAAGCAATTGATTTGGTGAATTCCAAAAGGGTTGACTTATTACCACTAAGTCAGACTTGTAATTCTTGTAGACATTATCTTCATCCCAAACGCCATCCTATACTATAAATTTTGAAACCTAAAAAATCGAATAAATGTGCAACATTCGATAACGACTAAGCTTACAATGTTTGAATAATGTATCTAAAGTCTGTGAATAATGATTATTACTACAACTGATACAAACAAAGCGGCATTTTGTATGTTACAACTGATACAAAAATTTCAGACAAAAATTTAATTGGGAATTAACAAGCATGAGCTCCTCTTTCTCAACTTTAACACGAAAAATTCTGTCAATTTTGGAGCTGCAAAAACATTCCTAGAAAACCTTGTGGTTTGACTTCTCTGCTCTACGGGCTTTCGGGTGCTTCGACATCTGATGAACATTTAGTGATGCGATCAGACAATAGTTTAAAACCTAGGAAATGCTACCTTATTCCATATGATAAAATGAGAGATATGGGCAATTAGCTAAAGTTACAAGGACCAAAAGTAAATTTTTTGAAGCTATACTAACCTCCGGAAGAAGGGACAACAACAACGTGCATGTCGTTGTTGTTGGGAGGAAGTTGAAGGCGAAGAGGATAAAGTTTTTGATTGAGAGGGTTGCGAGAGCAGACAACGATGTCTTCTAGGCCGGTCTCCTCTTTTAATCTCTCCTTCAACTCTTCCACTTCACTTCCTTTGAATATTAACCTCACCTCTTCTCCTTCTTCCACTTCTCCTTTCTCGTTTGCGATTTTGTAATGAATCACTCTCCCCTCGACCTTCAGTGTCGATTCGTCCTGTGGCCCACTTGACTGCATTTGATTAGATTTGATATCAACATAAGATATTAATACATATGTAAAATATTACTAATCTCACATATTTCATACTTATGCAATAGTTATACATTGATTTAGCCTGATTTGTTGTCCCTATGTTATTTTTGACAAAAAGTTATAGAATTGAGATCATGAGCTGACCTTGTGATGGGAATGATGATCTCGGGACGGCGACGACTCAACCTTTGAATGGTGGTGGGATGTAGTCATCCATGGTGGTGGGGGTGGGGGGAGAATAGGTTCATATCCAGTAGAACTAGCTATGGAATCGAGAGAGTTGAAAGTTTGAATCACCATAACATCAACGTCCCAAAGAATCCAATCTTGATGGGAGGTTGAATGAGGAATATCATGAGTAATGGAGTTTCGCCAGGGAGGCAAGCCACCATTGGCCCTTAGGAACTGGCCGTAGCGAGTTCTGAACTTGATCTGATCGCCCTCTCTAATGGGCTCCCACTCGACGGAGGAATCAAGCCTTTTGGGCAGGGTTTGAAGGACCTTCTTACCAGTTATGCCCAAAAGAAAGGGGATGTTGGTGGCCGTAAGGTACGTGCCGAAGCAGCTCTTGAAGCGAAGACCGGTTGAATGCTCGATGAATTCCACCGTCCATCTGGCGTTCTTGATCGAGCCATTGCGGTCTTGACACACGGATTCTTCGTCTTCCTCTGCTAGAAGGTACTTGTCATGGTGGCTTTTTAGACGAACCACTTGTGCCCTTCGAAATAGCTCCATTGCACTCTGTTAAATCCCCCACCAAAGTTATGGCCAATTAGCTCACAAACAAAAAAACACTCAAAATTCAGAACAAATCATGTCCAAACGGGGGATCGAATGCGAAACTCAATTGTTCTGAGCTCCAAAGAAAAAGACCAAAAATCAAAATTCAAGAACACACAACGAATTTAAAGGAGAAACTTTTTTTCAGGAGAAAGAAGCAGAGAGGCAAATGAACCACGGGGAAAGTAAAGAACTGTATACCCGATAAAGGAGGAGCCCACGGCTTTGCCTCGCCGGAATCTGCTAATTCCGGTAATAGTTTTTGTGGTTCAAACCTAGCTCTGTTCTTTTTTTTTTTTTTTAAATTCATTTTACTCCAAATTATTTCAATTTTAAATTACAAAATTTAGATAATAATAGTAATATAAGGAGGTTATTATTTTTTTTTCTTTCTATATTTTAAGTTTAGAGATGTAGAATGATATTTTTGAAGTTTTTTTGATATTGATGAAACTTTTTGAAAAATTTAGGATATTTTCTTTATTAAAGGTATTTTTGAAAATTTTATGATATTTTTGAAATGTTTAAAATTATTTTTGAATTTAGCTGAAAATTAAAGGATATTTAGATAATTTGAAAATTTTATTTAAAAGTTCAATAATATATTTTTTTTTAAGGCAAATGAACATTTCAACGACATTTTTATTAATTTAGTTTATAAAAAGTTTACAATAATAAAAGGAAGCGTATTAAATATGAATGTAATTAATTAAAATATAATTTTGAAATTCCTGAGCTAGAAGGCATCCTATATTGTCCTTCACGTTAGTTCTGTCTCGAAGTCAGAGGTCAACGTCGTTGAATTGGTCAACTTTGACAGATTCGAAGCAAATTGTTTCTTTAAAAAAATAAATAATTTAATTATGAAATAACTTATAAACACTCTCTATTCTATCATTTATTATCATTATTCTTTACCATTTAATTCATAAGAAAGCTAAGAGAACAAATAATAATTAATAATAAAAAACTAAAAGTTAAATAGATGAAATTTTAACATTTTTAATTTTTTTTTTTTTTGAAATGTTAAGGATATTGATTTATTTATTTTTTACTATTCAAATGAAATGAGAAAATGGATTAAACAGTTGTCCGGAAGCTTACCAGATCTCTGTCAGTGACGTGGCCAGATCCGGTACCGGAGATGGACATCGACGGCGACCGGGTTTCTAAATCGTAATCAGAATTACTCGAGAACGACGAATTGCTCGAAAAGCTGGCCGCCGGTGAGATACAGTCAGCCGCCAACTCATCAAGCGGCGTGATATCAAGAGCATCCACACTCCAAAGCACCCATTCCTGCGTCGCCGTCCGGCGTGGGATATCGTGAGTGACAGAGTTTCTCCACGGCGGCGCTCCGCCGTTTGCACGGAGGAACATCCCAGCCCTCGTTTTCAACTTCACGAAACACCCATCTTTCCTCGGCTCCCACTCGATGGAGCCTTCACTGGGGACGGCGGCAATATCCGCCTGGACGACCTTCTTCCCGGCGGTGCCGAGAATGAAAGGCGCGTCGTAGGCAGTGAGGTACTTGCCGAAGCAGCTCTTGAGGTGTATGACGTGGGGCTTTCCGGCGATGAGCTCCACCGTCCATCGGACGTGAGGGGTGGCGCCGTTGCGGGTTAGGCGGGTGGATTGTTGGTCGTCGGCGGCTTGGAGGTACTTGCCCAGATGGCTTTGAAGGCGAACAACTCTGGCGGTGTTGAAAAACTCCATGGAAGGACAACAAGAAGGTATAATAGGGAAGTGTCTTTTAATTGTAGGAAAGGGGTTGACCAAGTACCCTAGGTCAATTTTGTTTTTTTTTTCCTAGGTTGGCTACCATGACCATCCTAGAAATCACACTTAACACGTGGCTTGAGTATTTAAGAAATACTCAGCAAGTCACTACATTATTGGAGTTAATAATGTAATCACACACGTTTGATGATGAGACCTATCTTTTAAAATCGTAACATGGCCTTAGACTCTTTCCAGTTTCGGATAGGGTTGGATGTATAATACTTTCTCACACACGGTTCACGCACACATGGACCCACTAGGTGGGCTTGTATAGACACCTCCTAGACCTGACTTAGTTGAGAAGCAAAATAAAATGTAAGAACTTATTTTGATTTGGTTTAGTTAATTATAACAGTGAGATCAAATAATTTTTTGAATCATTGAACGGATTTTAAGAAACTCTTGAATACAATAATTAAATCTATAAAACTATTTCACATATTTTTAATGTCACATTAATACCCAACTACTTTGATTGGGTTATAATTTATGATATGTCACTATTAAGAAGTACATGGTATGATATTATAGAAGTACATGGTATGATATTTTTGAATGCACGTATGTTTCTAAAATAACTTAAATTTTGACATAAAATAAATACATAATTACCCATTTTTAACCGAAGAAAATTAATATTGTAGAGGAATCAAACCAAATCGAAGTATTGACCTGAACCATGGTTTGACCTAAATCAGTTGATTTTGATCAATATTAAATTTTTTTCTATACTTCAATTGCAATTTTAGCGACTTGCTTCTACTCTAGGCCAAATCTTAAGTGTCACATCTTATTTCATCATCGAGATTCTCAACATGACTAACACGCTTCTAAATCAATAAGAAGCTTCACTAGGATGAGTTCGAAGCCTTACACATCACATCACGTTCCATACAATCATGTCATAACCCTTGAAGAACAACATATCGTTACATGCATTACACATCACATCAGACTAAACAGCATACATAGCATACATTCACGTTCACATGACTACGTACTTAAGCACAATAATCTAGCATACAATGTATCATATCATAAACAAGTCATAACGTAAACACTTCATAGTCATATCGTTTTCTAACTTACCATAGCCTTAACATTCTGATACCTATCACAGACATATCATTACGTAACGTACCTTAGTCATATCATCACAAGAACGTATCCTAACGCTCTCGTTCTATCAATTTATCACAAACCTATCCCTTTCTACCCATAACCTAACTGTATTCTTTCATCAATCTCTCATATCCATAGCACTCCGGTATGTAATCTAACATTAACGTTTCATGAACGTATCTTACTCCTATCGTTACATTTCGTTTTGTGCATCCTTCTCGTATCCTATCTCAAACATATTCTTGATCACATCGTACTATAATTATTATCATACAATCCACATATTATAACATAACATAACATATAGGAAGCATATCGATCCATTCTCTTTTGATTTGAATGGGCCTGGTCTCCCGAGGCGAGGTACATATGGCCGGCCCTTCGGGTGTCTCGGTGATACAAACAAAGAAAAGACGAATTCCAATCCCCTATCACAACAAGCCAATCCGAAGAAATAGAATCGAATAATCTACCTTTTGTCTTCATGTTGATTCCGCTCGACAATCAAGCTGCACTGCCTTCTAACAAACAAGTGGCTAAGAGTTAGCAAGCAACCTTGGCCTCTTGACCGGAGGTGATCCCTTCCTTTCCAACCCATCGATAATTCACACATATCAATATATATGACACATGCAGAACCACACAGGTCACTTACCTGGCTCGCTTAAGTCGTTGTCACAAATATATCTTTAATGAAAGTTCGTCCTTTGAAATTCAATCTATTATGAGCTCATGACATCAGTTTCAAGTTTGAACTCTATAAAATTATTTTCCTAATTTACATTGGTCATCCTAAAATTATGATATTTTCTGTTAGACAAAATTTAAAGGAGCTCACTGATATTTCCTGTTTTATTGTTAAATCTTGTTCAACAAATCTTTTCTCAATCTCCCTCCTTTTCTCAATCTCCCTCCCTCTCTAATTATTTGAATTATGTCAGTAGGTTTTCAATTGTGTAAACAGATATTACTGCCCTTGGCTACCATCTTTTAGTTTATAGATCTGTTAACTAAAATTTTATTGAATCTAACCTTATAACTTCTTAAAATGCTAACAAAAATCTAATCAATTATATATGGGATCTGATTATTACATGATTGTTAAGATATGAAAGAAGATTTGTTCTTAAATTTAGATAGAATTTTACCGTAATACGCATAAGCCATTTTACTTCTTCTCAAATCTGACTATGGTTGTTTTTCTGTTTTTTTTTTTTTGTTTGCAGTTGGGGTAAGGATGAGTCGAGTAGAGATAATTGTGGAAGGGATGAGATGTTAGTGGAGAGAGGTGGAGAATTTTTTTTTTTTTTTTAATTTTAATTTTAATTAATTAATTTATTTATTATTATTATTGTTTTAACTATTTTTTTTATAAAGTATTTTCTTTTATTTGTTTATTTCTTTATTTATTTTTGGACTATTACAAGGTCTAACCTTGAGAGTAGTCTAGTTCAACCAAGGTCAGCATAGCTCAACTCGACCGGTCGAGACAACTTTTGGCTTGGACTTGTTTCCACATTTGTACTTTGGTAGGTGCTTGGTTTTAAGGAATCAATTTCTACACATTTATAGCCAATCCCGAGATCAAACTTTTAGTTTCACAAGAAAAAACTAATCAAACTCGTTTGGAATCAAATCAAACTTCCAATTGTTGGTTGTTCACCTTTAAGCGAAGTTATACATAGTTGATGTCATGCCCTACGTACTGAAACATACCAAATGTTGTCGTTTTGATCCAATGCCGACCCTAAATTGTGTATGTTGTCTTCATAAAATAAACTTTAAAAATGTAGTAAAACGAACCATTATACTTTCCTTTAGCCTAAAACTAAGTTTTTTTATTTTTTTTATTTTTTATAATTTTATATAGTTTAAGTTGCATGTATAGAATCATTAAAGTCTGACTTGATCAATCTTTACTCGTAAATTGAATCGAATCTTAAACAAGTTTTTCTACCTTGAGATATAGATCAACTTGATAATTTAGATCTTATTTTTCTTTCATATTTTAGATCAAAAAGTCTGGTTCTTTAACAAAGTTATTAGATCAAATTCCTAAAAAAGTTTATATCTAAAACAATTTTAATTAGATCCCTCATCAGTGAAGGGTTTGATCATTCTTGATTTTAACTTTCCTCGAAAAAGCCTCGATCAAGAGATGAACAAACAGCACGCGTTGCCTTTCGTTTGAACGTTTTTCATTAATTTTCTTAATAATCTTCCTCGTTCATCTCTAATTTCTTTGTCAACCCGGATAAACATGTATGGAGACATTCCTAATGGTAATTTAGTTGTATCTATTGATATAGTTTTTACAAGCAATTCGATCCTTCACGAGGTGTTCATAATTACAAAAACAAAAAATATATGATAATCATGTGAAATATTAATATTCTCAATTAACGAATTTATAAAAAGAAATTAAATATTTCGTAGTTAAGTCTTATACAAACTCATTATATACAATATTCTCACTCAAATGTCTACCCAAGAATGATTTGAATCCAATTATTTGTAACAATTACAAAGTGTATCATACCAATAGTGTTACTAGGACGAGACACTCACCTTATCCATTTACTATAGAACCTTTAGATTATTACTAACATGATTCTCATGTACGTCAACTACATACGGTTCAAGATTACATTAATAACCTTAAAATTTTCATACCATGGATAATTTAAATCACAAATAAGATAATCAAAATTATTATTAAAAACTAAATAATTAATTTCGAAACTTAAAAGCGTAAATTCCAAAAAATATTTAAAGTATTAATTTAGAATTAAGGATGAAATTGAAAAGTATCGAAGGCTAATTTTTCATATAGTGCCTACTCAACTTCGATTTATTGTCGAGTTATCATGATTACTTAGGGGTTACTTAGGGACGTTTAGATCATTGAGTTGAATTTTTAACCTAACTCAATGTTGGATCCATTCAATTTTTTTACCTTTGATTATTAACCCATTGAATTTTTTACCTCTTCTTTTTTTACTTCATCTAATATCATTCTACCATCTATTAAATGTCGTGTAGTGCCTACTTTTAACATCTATTAAAACTTTTAAAAGTTTATATATTTACGGTTAGTTTTGAATAAAAACTATTAGTAATATAGTTAAAAAAATACTCGGTCCCCCTAACTTTTATATTAGAAAAAGTTTATACTGTCAAAATATCTATTTATACCTCATAGGATCATCTCCAAATTTTTTTAATAGTACTCTTATGATATTTTTGTGATGGTGTTTTAAAATTATTTTAAATTTTTTTTAAAGGTATTTTAAAAGTTTATAAAAAAATGTTAAAAAAGAATATTAATAGAAGTTTTATATTATCCATGTTTTTCTCCAAAATTAATATTAAATATATTTTAAATTTTGATGACTATTTTATTAAGTTAACATAAAAATGGATAAGATTTGATAAATTTTAAATAATAATTTGATTTTAGTTTATTGGCTGACGTGTTTTGTGTCCTTTTATGTTGGTTTGTTAAACTTTTATGATTGTATTTAATGGTTTTAAAGGAGCTTTCAAAGATGAGCGTACTAATTATATTTATAATTAAATTTTATATTAATATTACTAAAATCATTTATTCGAGAATAATTATTAATTTAATGATTAAACTGATTCAAAAATTTTAAATTTAATCCATATTAAAAAATGAAAATTAAATTAATATTTTATTAATTAAAATTATTTTAATAATGTAAAAGGGTCAATTAATTATTTAAAATTAAATAATGTAGTAAAATTATCGAAAATAATATATTTATAAGAAATTTTAATAA